GTGCACCCCTACGCTATAGTGTTTTGTTATGTGGTTACTAAGAACTGAAGTATCCTGATGGGGCACTTCAGATTATGAAATTGTAATTTTCATTTTATCTTACACTTTTCCTGTTTAAACAAACATGGAAAATTATTGTTATTACTATTATTGTTATTATTAATTTCGCCAGAGAAATAAATTCTAAGATTAAACTCTTAAAAACACTAGCATCTAAGGCTATCGGCTTTTATTAAAAACTCTACCGCACTTGAGATTCGAACCCACGACGATTGACTTTCTTAGTCGAGATTCCTCGCCTTCGGCTACTCAGGCGAATGAAAATTATTATTGGTTTGCGGAAATGAAATTTTTTCACCTTTTTTTAAAATCTTCTTCTTCTAATGTGTGCGATTTATTTCTAAAATCATTTATCAATTCGAAATGAACTTTCTTTTTGGTAAATATGTTGTTTTTAAAACTTAATCTTCCTTCGTTTGTTATGTAATATATATTATAATTCATATGCAGATACGAATGAAACTAAAAACAGCAGTTTAAGAAAAATTTTTTACGCTTATCTTTATAAGAAAAATTTATTAAAATTTCTTCATGTTTTATACAATTTTGTAATCTCTCAATAGACACGAGCGGATTGCATTTACAAAGTTGTGATTAAAGTGACGCAATTTATTCTGGTGATCATAAAAAGATCAAAAAGTCATTTAAGCTAATTTTCAAGAGGCAGCCTGCAGCCTATTATCGCATAAATCATCGTCTCAGGAATCTTTGCACAGACTTTACTCATAACTAGTAAGAGCAGGTAGCACATGCTTCATGTAAAACGTAATCAGAATTGTTAAAGAGAGCCATGTTTTACTGGTCGAAGCCTATTCTACTTGACCTTAAAAAAAATAATATAATCGATGCTCAAAGCAACTGTAATTTTTTCCGATTTTTTTATACCCATCCCGCCGCTGGATATATTCATTTTGTCGAAACGTTTGCAACGATTAGAAGGAAACTTGAGCGACTTGAGAGAAAGTATATATATTCATGATCGGCATCAATCGTATCGATCTCAAACGATTTAGGCATGTCCGTCTGTCTATCTGTATGTCTGCGCAACTATATAGCTTTTGTGGTAAACATACTCCCGTTAGCGAAAATGAAGATATCGCCTACAATTTTGGCAATGAATCAAACTTCCCCATGGACACGCCTATAACGCCCACATGGCTATGCAATAAAACAATTTATATCGAAAATAGAAAACATCAATCGTGCCTAAAGCGCGTGAAAATTTACTTCTGTTACCCTTTTTGGTCTCTTTGAGGCTAACACTGAAGGGCATAAAAGAATCGGTATCAAGCGAATATAATTTTCTTATTTGTTATATTGCTTTATACTCCCTAACAAACTTATACACCACTACAGCAATATAACATAAGTTGCTTGAATAAACTAAATGATCTAAACACCACTTTGATGGTATCTTCCTCGCCAGGTATATTGCATAGCGTATCAAGTCAAGAAAATACTTTTGCAAGTATAAACGATTTTAGTAAAGCCCACTGCCATTTTGCAGTTTACATGCTTGTGTGTGTTTTTCAAATAACGTAAGAAGCAAAGTTATGTTTTTGCAAATTTTCCACAAGGGCGAAGATAATGTAATCGACTTTGAACACACCTTAAAAACTGAAGGCAATCTTTGTAATACAAAAATTTTTAAATATTTTCTTTCGTAATCGCGAAACTTTAACAGATAGACTTAAAAATTAAAAGTTTTTTAAATAAGCGACATTTTTCTAATATATCGAACCATAGATCGTCGATATGTCCGTAGAGAGAGGCACTTTACACTGAGTTTTTTCCGTTTGCCTGTACTATCAGAGCTAGTTTTAGATCGATAAGTTTTATAATTTATTATTTTAAATATCGGTTTAAATATATTTACATATCTTTCTTTTAGGTCTCTCTTTTTATGACTGTTGCTTGGAGAAGCTTTAGGATGCGGAACCTTAGTTATAATAGGAAAACTACCCGTCAATTAAAATTAGAACACATATGGACCAGTAAGACTGTAAAGCCTCTTTCGGCACACAAATAATTAACAAAAATACTAGATAGAGTAACTCAAACGTTTATCGAAATTGTAAAGCCACATATCACTTGGATATTTTAAAATGAAACTCTAGTCATCTAGTCATCTGATATAAATAATCTCCGAATGTAGCAATGGCTAACGCTTCACTTGCTATTTCTTTTATTCAACAAAAGATCCATCAATCAGTAAATACACAGATAGACTAAAGCTCTGCCTGTGAACAATTCCATTAAGTATTGAAATTGAGAAAATTTTCCTCAATAAATTATATTTTATAGAAACTTGAAACTTGAAAGTTTACAATGAACTAAACCTTTTTAACAAATATTATTAAATGCATTGCATAGACACGGTACGCTGCTGTGCATTTATTAATCTCACTATGATGTGATTTATATGAAAAATGTTTTTTAAATCAATAAATCTTTTTAAATCGACGATTAATAAGAGCATGAATTTCGAAATTTTCTAAATTCATTTTCACTGTAAGTCGACTCGATCTTGAAAGCTAGAAAACTAGTAAATAACTTGCGGATGTATCGGACAAGCAAAACATTAATAATTGTCAAAATTTGCATTTAGATTAATTGCTGATAATTTATCAGAAAACCAGAAGCGCATACCTAGGACAAGAAAATCGTGTTTGCTTTTTTTAAGACAACTGTGGCATCATTTCAAGCGAATAAATATAATTTCCTACGGGTTTTGTAAGTGAGAAAAGATGACTCTTATCCAAATGTAATGAAGTCTCGATCGCGGCGGGTTAAATGTCAAATTATTTGTCAACTGCGAGTTATAATTTTTATACCCACAGCCACAGGTGGACATAGGGCAACAATTCAAATTTCAATTAATGCAATTTTGTCTACGTAGTCATCGGCTTGTGACCCGGGTGCCTTTGTTGCACAGCAAGGAAAGAAGACAAAAATTTGGAAAACAATTTTCTCATGCGTAAACTTTCACGCAAAGTAGTGAACACACTGCCTTTAGGTATTTTTCGGATATCTCTTCCAATTCATCATTTGATTATCGAGAATAATTAGTAAAATTGTTTTCCATATTCTCTGGGAAAGCACCGAAAATTTGTTGCTTGCGCGGGAGAAGAGACTTTATGTTTCCTTGTTGTACCTATGTTGTACCTTAAACATAGTGCCGAGCATGAAGCGTGATAGAAGGGGAGGGGCAGAGAGAAGAAACAGTGCTTGTGGACATTCGCCATTCAGTTAAAGTGACAAAAGCCACTGTTCTTAGGTTATTGTGAAGGCAGAGAGCATAGGTATGCAGGTAAGTCCAGGACGATTGGATGGGAACGCTGAAAAAGCCGTGCAGTCCTGTTAAAAGACTTAATTGGTGGACAAATCTCTTTTACCGCTACACAAGACATGTCTCATAGGCACCTATACATGAGCGCCACGCTTTCTTCACCCATGAGTAACGCTACAGGCGGCTGAGTGTTTTCAAGCAAAGTTTGAAAGTTTCCGCCCACAAAAGCGTGTTCTACTCGAATTTTGGCCGGTTCGATTGCCGCCATTGTGTTGAAAATAGCAAAAGTAACGTAACTAAAACCACAGAGCCTCATCAACATCTAATCAAAATTGCGTGAAATTTTGACAAGCGTCGTTAGAAAGTTTAGAGAAAGTACTTAAGAATAGCACTGCCTGCAATTCAACAATTTAGGTAACTCTCTCTCCTCTTTCTGGATAACTACTATATCTTAGTAAACGAAATCGTGCATGTGCAATATATATATATATATATATATATTTAGTGAACTACACGAAAAGATTGAGACAAGAAAGAAATATTTTTATCATCATTCAATGTAACTTAAAATTTCGCACGTAGTAAAAAATAAATTAATTTTACAGAAATATATTTCGTATTTTCGTAATAATAATTTTTTTTTGTATTTCTTTCTTTTCCCGTATTGCAATATTGCAAGTGAAGCAAAACGTTTGCATATTACTTTTTTAACAAAAACATTAATATATATTGCGTTTGTTTATAATGAATGCAAACAAAAAAAAAACAAAAAAAAAAAAAAAATACAGACAAAACAACGAAAAGGGTATGAGACAAAACAGAAAAGTTTCCATTCATTTTGATATGGATTTCGGATTTCTTTCAATGGATTAGAATATGAATTCAAATGTGAAACCGGAACTTATGTTATCAGCTTACATAATATTTAAAAAAACAAATAATAATAATAATAATGATGAGGGTTACGTTGTTCAAATCAATCAAATGACAAAAAAACAACAACAAAAATTTACATCTTCAAATGGAATTTAGAACTTGGAACAAATGAGTATTATTTTTTTCTTTTTTTTTACGATTTTAAATTATTTACGTTACGTACATGTCTGATTATCACACAATAACCAGCTGGTCTCTCTATGAAAGAAAAAAAAAAAAACGAAAAAAATAGGATTTTGTTTATGCACAAGCTTAAGGTAAATATGATAAGAATCATATATATATATATATATATATATATATAGAATAGCGTGCAGAGTGCGACAATGAAAAATTGCATAAACTTTAAACACTGCATTGCAAGCAACGCTACTCTTTTAAAATTAAAGTACATTTCACAACTAATTGAAAAATTAGCTCGAAATTTATTTATTTCTTAAGACCTAACAAGTTGTTATTACAACAACAAGGTAAACAAAGAAGCTGCAAATTGTTAGATAAAATTGTCAAAACAAACTTCTTAGGCAAAATTTCGCAAGTCTCTATTAGCTTACGCTTACAAAACGCCCCAGATACATAGTAATGCCGCACATACGCTTTAACATTAACTTGGCCAGACAAAAAGCTTATCATTATTATCATCATTACAAGTAGAATAAAGACATTTGAGTTTTTTTTTTTTCTTTTTTTTTTTGTTCATAAAAGCATAACAAACCTTTATTTATTGCTTAAAGCACCGCAATTTAATGTTTTTTATTTTCGTTTTTACTTTATGTCCACATACAATATACAAGAAACATTGAAAAAAAAAAAAACGGCTAAGAAAATTTGTTAAGTTCTTTCTTTTTTTTTTTTGTTTGTTTATTTATTCACTTGTTTTTTTTTTTTTTGTCTTTTTTCTTTTAATAAAATTAAAGAAAAAGTTGACTTTCTTTGTTCGACTTTTTAAAGGAAATGTTTCACTTTTATTTATATTTTTTTTTTTTTTGTAATTTTTTAAAACTCTAAACACATTTCCATTTCAAAATCAATCCGCATCAACGTCATTAATGCCGCGCTTGCTAATAAACACTAAATTTTTTGTGCTCGGTAAAATCGTTAATCGTGCACTCGTCAACGTAAGTAAATATTTCAGGGGTAGGTAAATACGGCCCTCTCTCTATCTCTCTCTGTCTCTCTTTTGCTTTTCCTTAATCTCACTGTTTGAGAGCGCAACCGCGTAAATGTGAAAATTTCCTTCTTTCTCTCGCATTTGCGTAGCTGATTGGAAAGGTAAAAATTAGAAAATTAATATAGAAAACTAATTTTAAAAAGGAATAATTTAATATATATATGGGGTTTGCAAAAATTTTGATCAGCGACTTTTGCAGCTAAAAATGATAAAGAAATGGGAAATACTAGTGTATAGTGTTCGATAAATTTGACCTTTCTCTATATAAAATAACGTTTAATATTAATAATTTATTCAGCATACGACGACGCTAATCATGGAACGCTCAATATACTTCTTCTTCCATTATTCATTATTTTTCTTGTTTATTTGAAGAAATTTGTCTTATGGTGATGCTGCTCCATCATATCCCAATTGTCGGTTTGGGGTTCAAGGCTTTCAAAGTGGCGGCCTGAATTGACCGAAAATGCTATTTTTGGGCACGTGCTGCAACAGTTGCCTAAGATACACCCGAATGGGTGGGTTTGCTTCACTCAAAATACTCACCAGACATGGCGGTACGACTTGCTCAAATCGGTAGGGCATGCTTTGGCTGGCACATAGTTCCGCAAACTTGAAGAAGCGTGAAAATGATTCGGTTGGCGAATCACTACCGAACCAATGTAAATTCTTTCGATATGACATCGCCATGTTGCCAAAAATATTGTAAAATGTTCTAGAAAATGACGGAAACTATTTCGATTAACGTATGTTGCACTAATTTTCCACAACAAATGCCGTTTTCAAGTGAAAAAATGATCAACATTTTTGCAAACACCTAATAATATATCGGTAAAGTTATTATACAAAACAAGACGTTATGTCAATTAAAATAACAATTAAAATGTAAAATAATATAATACATAAACCGATTTAAAATAATACAATGTATTAATAAAATACGAAGAACATTATTATTGTTATTATTGTTATTCTAAATTTAGCCAGAGAATAAATTCTAAGACTAAAGTCTTAAAGCACTAGCATCTAAGGCTTTCGGCTTTATTTTTAAAACTCTACCGCATTTGAGATTTGAACCCACGACCATTGAGCTGCTACTCGAGACTCTTGCCTACTCGTCCACTCTGGCGGATTCGAAGAATAATTTTTCCAAAATTTCCAATAAATCGTTTTTATCTTTTTTCTTTCATTCTTTTTTGGCAACTTGTCAAACAAGGCCTAACCTCAAAAAGCTTGAAAGTTGAAGAAAACTTTCCAAACAAATTTCTATGCAAATTTCTATGTGTCTGACAAGCGAGGAAGGGCTTTATGTTGGATAAACGCTAAACTTCTTTTCTTTTCTTCTTCATACATGTTAATCCTTTTCTTCCCCTCCTTCGTAAATCGCATGCTGATTATTAATATTCTCCTTCCGTCCATGCGGTATATTAAGTCAAGCAAACAGCTTTCTTTTTTATTTTTTTGGTGCCACTTACTATCAGCCAATCCGGCGAAGCAAGGAAAAGTTTTATGTATTGTCAGTCAAAAATCTGAATGTTACCTACTACGACAATCGTAGTTACATGTATACAGAAAATAAAAGGCAAATATTTACTTATGTCTTATCTCGCACTTCAATCTATGTACATTTAGCATATGATACGGATCGCGTATGGTTGCGATTAAGCTACATGCTGCCCACCCCTGCGAAGTGCAAGATATGCAGAAAAATTGTAAGAACAATGTTTTCAAATTTTCTCAATTAAAGAGCTAACGGTATATTGCTCTCTTACGTTTATCTTTTCTTCTTTTTGTATCTTGAGCTTGGCTTGGAATTTCGTTAAAAGCAGTACACTTAAGGCCCGTATTCTACAAAACCCAGCAGTTGATAGTGGATCAATGCACGATTCTCCGCATTCTCCGAACGCATTGTTTTATAGTTGAATAACTGATTCCGGAAAAAAAGATCTAGTTGTACATTGTTGAAAGAAACAGAAAAAGGAGAGATATATTGTGACCTGATTTCACGGGTTTTCTTGTTTTGCATTTCACAGGTATGTCAACTTATTCTAAGCTAAAATGTATTTTGATATGTATGTATGTATGTACGTATGTGTGTATGTAAAATGTAAAATGAATACGGTGCATATTCTAGCGAGCTTTGCTAATATCTAATATTAATATTATCAGAACACACACACGTATGCATGTATAGCAATAAAAATGAGTGTTAAGTTTTTTTTTTCTTCTTTTAAAAACGCAATCATTTCATATGAAATTTTTCTTTGTGAAATATCCATTGGTTGCTGTTTCCCATTAAAATTCCTTAGTAATGCTTTGAAATTGAAATTCTTTTAACAGCTATTCGAATAATTTTTGATATCTGCGGTTTTTACCTGGAATTATATATATTTCCAGATATATATTATATTAAAAATAAACTCAAGAATCTTTGTGTGGGTAGATATGTCCATTTCTATTTTTTTCCAATTGTACTATGGAATTTGTTTTTGTTTCTTCAATATTTTTACACTTTTAGATGAAAAGTAAAAGTTTTAATAAAATTTGAGAATTATCCGAGTTTCCTAAGGGAATGGCTGCTTTGTCGACAATTCACAGTCTCCTGTAATGAATGTAAGAACTTAATGTTAACTTTCATCTTCGCTCAAATAATACACCTCGCACGAAAAGTATTGCTTAAGGTCAACTTACCTCAATTCTCGGACCATAGAGGTGTTTGCGATAAATGGTTTGGGCATTCCGCGCAAATACTTGAAAGCAACTTAGAGAACTCAAGAACTAAAACTGAACATTGTTCATCAGCTACTCAACCCGTGGTCTATAGATAAATATAAGCAAGGTCATCCCTAACGAAGAGTTTCTACATCGAATAAACCCACCGTGTAATAGACAAAATATTATTTTTTCAAACTTTCCAATGGATCGAGAGTTTAACGATTTTGCGGCATACCTTGTAACGATACTTTTATAGCCAAGCGCTGCAAGAAGTACATTCACCAAGTAGACTGAAGTTAAAACTAGCACTGGCCTGACGGAATATTTCGTTAGCTACTACAGCTACTGAAGCTTGGGAAAACCGAGATTAGAAGCAATTCCAAACAACCTTGCATTCACCCTTTTCCAATGAAACTCATAACTCATAACGAAAAAAAAGGTCAAAATTCTCTCTAAGGCTAACTTAATCAGTATCAGTCATCTAAACGATATTTCTCACTTTACCTAAATATTGGACTCTCCCCATACTAGCAGATCAACTTTCGGTGATATGTATGCCTTGCCTACATCGGTCCTAAGGTAACTACTAATCCTTAAAACTTTGTCTAATTCGCAATTAAAGCAATGATGTTCACTGTGTGTGTGTGTGTGTGTGTGTGTGTGCCAAGCTTTTCCACGTTTGCATCGGCCTAATGACTCACTCATAGCTTGAATCTGCTCTGGCCCCAAGTGGGCTGCTAAGCTAGAGGTGTACATGCTTTTTTCTTTACTTATACATGACTTTCGTTTATTTGGTTTCTTTATATTCATCCATATATCAGTTCGGCCTAATATTTAGCTTAAGATTGATCTTTAAAAGTCATAAGATGAAAGGATCAATTTTTGACTGATATTTACCTAAGATAATACTAAAATGAGAATCATTTTGTATAAGTTGTCGTCTAAAGTAAATTACCGTAAAAGGAAGGAGAGTACAAGCTTCAATTTATTGCGTGTCCGATGGATGCCTCATGTGTTTCATACCTGAAATATATGATAGAAATTTTTATTGTAAATTTTCCAGAAATTTTATTCGTTTAACATGTAAAACATGTAAAAAAGTACGCCTTCTTATGAAAAAATGAATATATATTGCGAACAAAGCGACCCGTAGGAAGATGTTGAGCAAAGTGCAAGGTTACAGCTAATTAATAATTATAATCATATAATTTAAGTAGAAAAACCCTAAAGAAAAATATATGTAAGCGAAGCCGTTTTGTATATTAATTACAAATAACATAGAAATACAGTAAATGCATCTTTTTATTAAATTAATTTTTGTATTTAAAAGCAAGTATGAATCACCATAAACCGTAATCAGTTAACAAATTAAGTTTATTTTCAAATTACTAATAAGTTCTTTTCAATCCATTAAGTTAATCGTAGAGTTTCTGCAATCGATTATCGATTACAACTAGTAAACGTTCTGCTTATCTATGTTATTACGATTGTTCTTCAGCTAATTTGGGTTCAGTTATTCTTTGAGTGAACGACCTTAAGAATGTTGCTTGCCTGCCATGCATGTTATTCTCGCTGACCAATTGTTTCACTACATATTATGGGCTTTTTTTTTTTGTATTTCGCTTATTTTCACATTTCCAAGAAACACAATATTCCTCCGATATTCTGCACAATCAGTTTTCCTTGCTTCTTACTTTAAAAACATCACCTTCAGTTTGTTCTAGTGCTCTGCGCTCGAGTGTGATTTACTTATCTAATTGTCGTCCCTTCTTATCACATTTCATTAATTTTTCGCTTCCTTTGGTCGGTCAAGAATGTTTGGTTGTCTCATAGCTGCATTGCAAGGTTGAAAGGACCTTGAAACATCATGCCCGACTTTCTGGACCATTCTTACTCTACTACGCATTGTCATTGCTGTTAATTAACTTGTGGTACAGTTTGTGCGAACGTATGTAACACCCGGAAGGGCTTAACTAGAACTTTTTCTTTTAATAGCTATGAATTCAGAATCGTTTTCTGAAATGATCTAAGATTATCTGACCATCTGTCTGTCCGTGTAATGTCTGTCCATGAACGTCTACTGGTCGGAATTTCTCGAATACTTTAATGAAATTTGGTACAGTGACACACTTTGGCCCGAGGATAAATGCTATTGAAAATTGTTTCGTTTCGGTCAACTTTTTCGACCACACCACAATAATGTGCAATTTCAAGTGAATAACTGCACCAGGCGAAGAGAGGTGTAAGGTATCTAAAGATCGGCCTTACCCAATTATAATGTTCTTATTTGTTGGGAATGTATAAGTACGTTGGGAATAAGTTGGAAATGGGAGTGTCTGGTCTTGTCCGTTAAGCAAATATTCCGCTAAAATGGTTACACTTTTATAAGCAAATTATCGATACCTACTAACCTCACTGTGACATTTTTTTTTCCTGCGAATTGTCGAAGAATTTCGTTTCCTAGAAAATCGTTTACTTCTCATGAACGCAAACCTATGATTTTCGTAATAATGTGATATTTTAATGTAATAGCTTCGCATACTAGTCCGTATTGCAATTCGATGAGGTTGATCAATAAATAATAAATTATTAAAAAGAAAAGTAAAGAAATACATTTTTTCTAAGCGCCTACTGTTGACCCATTTTCCACGAAACTTGCATTAAAAAACATTGCAATTATTTTTATTTTACTTTTTATACACTTTTCTTTCATACTCTCTGCTGACTTTTTCAAATTTTCTTTTAACACCGTTGCTTTATGCTTTGCCATTACGATACTGTGGCCAAAAAGTAAAATATTCAATATTCAAGTGATATTGCGCGGGTATATTGAATATCAGAATATGCTTTGCAGACATCCGCGTCCAGTTTGCCATCATAAGCGTCATTAGTGTTTCGGCTGCACTTGGTTTTGTGCGGCAAAGTAAGTATTTTTCCCGATTTTTACAATGGCTATGAAAGACTGAGTTCTGTCCACCAAGAGTTGAGATCTGGATGTACGCATACGATCTGGAAACAATCGTTCAATTGAGCGAATATCGTATACAAGAGGAGCAAACACCCAAAAAACTGCGCCAAAGCCTCTGAAAAACCAAAACGATGTCAACAGTTTTCTTCGATTATCGTGATGTTACACGCTATGAATTCCTTCCTTCGAGCCAAACGATTAACAAGAAATGTTAATTGACTGTTGTGTGCCATTTGCTTGAAGACTCATCCACAGGTCTATACAATACGCATACAGTCATTCGTACGAACTACTTTCCCGTCGTACAATTTCAACTTATGTGCTGTTAGTCTGTAAGCATCAATTTCGTTATGTTAAAGCCCCACTCTGTATATTAGATATTCGAGTTAATTATTAAATAAATTTCTTTAACTCATCTAACCCTTCATAAATATCGTATCATTGAATTACTATAGCAAGTCAAAAGGCTTCGTTCATTCTAAAATACCATGCATGGGCGCGTTAAAAATATCGGCGCTAACCCTTCGACACGAATGTAAAGTAAATTAAAGACGAAGAAGAAGAGAGGTGCACGGACGAATATCCGTCCGGGAGCAGGATTCGAGCTGCTGATTAGTTTTTGTCGCGGACGATATGTCCTTTATGATATGTCCTTTGCATACGCTCAGGCATCTGACCAAATTCTTATCGGCGTATAGTAAGGGGATATTGGACTTTCAGATTTAACAGCACAGTACAAAGAACACAAACAGACCGGAATAGATTTAAGAAAGAAATATAAGGAATCTGCTTACTGATGCACTGAAGTGTGTGGTCCAAAAATGTGAGTACACAAAAAAACCCATTTGACATTTGTGGGAGTAATATCTCAGCGAACAAGAAATCAGTAATCATCCCAATGTCAGAGCTTCATTCTTAGTGAAACACATTATGTCTTGTCTCATTGATGAGAGTTGTAATTTACTAGAAAATAGTGACGTCACAAGACAACACATACACATTCCTTACTACAGAACACGTGCGTGCGTTAAAGATAGTAAACAAAGCATCTGTATTTATATCTCTCGCCATTCAAAACACTCACTCTCTTCTCTTCTCTTCTCTACCGTCTAAGAATAGGAAGAAAAGCGAATCAAAAATTTATGAATGAAATATTTCGTTTTCACGACATTGTTGTACTCACGGATAGACGATGATGGTGCATGTGAGTGTATGTGTGTTTTTCTAGACACAATTGCATTTCAAAGGAATTCAACTGTTCATAAATCTGCATATACCGGATAGGTCAGGTCTGGCATTTTTTATTTATTTTATTAAACGCGACTTAGTTAGCTAGCAAACGCGTTTTCCATCAAAAACTCGTTTCCCTCAGTTTAAAAATTCTAAAATCATTGCATAATTCTATCGAATAATTTAATTGTTTTTTTTTTATATTTTTTTTTTGCATATTTTTTCTTTTTTTGTTTTGGCTTGTTTTTTACACTAGGAATGTAAAAAGTACACAATTCTCAAAATAATTAAATTTTTTGTACGCATATCGGACTAACGTGTACTAACATATTGCTGTTTTTATTATTAGGCTCGATATTATTTCAATTATTTAACATGTAAATTTATTCATTATTACGTCACAAAGATTAAATATGTACAAAAATGTGCATAAATACGTTAATTACGGAAAAAAGGCGTATAACTCGTCGTCATCGTATTTGTACAAGCAAGAAATATGCAAATGTTTAGTTGTTTAGTTGTTGTGTGTTCGTGTGTTTTTCTTTTATAACATAAAAGTCCATATAAAATCAACTCAATTATAGTCACGATATTCGGTAATGAAAAGAGAATGAAAACAACAAGTATTAATCATTATCATTTGTCCGTTGTTGAATTAGTGAATATATCGCGTTAATATAGAGCGTGTGAATATTATACTTATTATCATTATTAAAGTCTTAAAGCTCTAGCTTCTAAGGCTATCGAGATTATTGAAAACTCTAGCGCAGTTGGGATTTGAATCCACGACCATTGCATTGGTCGTCGACATTCTTTGCCTGCACGGCCACATAGGCGGATAGACCGTGTGAATAATATGTGTAGTAAAAGAAAAACGTATTGTTCGAAACGACCTTGTTATATCGAGACATTTATTATTTTTTTTTTTTTTCACTATAATCTAAGCATTGTATGCCGTAGGGTTTGGGATGTCAGAAAATTGCTCAAAATTATCCAAAGGTTAGGATGTAATCATTTCTACAACAGAAGCAAGAGGTCTAGCAGAAAAAAACTGAAACTAACGGGACAAAGAGAAGTAAGAACTAAAATATAAGATGCAGCTGCGACTGAATTGACAAAGCTTCGTTCCGAGGAAATGCCACAATATATAACCTGATGGTAAATTCTTTTCTCATTGCACTGTGAGTAGTTCAAGTCAAACACGCCACTTGCCGTACAAGGCGTATTAAATTTGTGTAAAATTTGCAAGTTTATAAGTTGTACGTAATATGCACAGCAACGACTTAAAGTGACCCATCCATCCATGTCTTGTGTTCTTGGCCGTCCATGTATCCGGCTGATCTTCTCTCAATCCACAGGTCATAATTTTTGAGATATTTCGGTGACAAGTTGTGCATTAACAATTTTTGGCCCAAGGATGATTTCTTTTGAAAATAGTTTGGATTAGCTATTCATCAGTACGAGTTTTCAATTGAGCGGAATAAATGATGAGATATAAGAGATATAAGGAACATAGCCGCTTTCAGATAAGCTTTGTGAAAATTAATAAGTCGGACTTTATTTCAATTTTCCCTTCTATCATATTGGTTGTATGTGAACAAACAAACGTCAAATTTGCTATTTGTTACTTTTTCGAAATAAATATCGAAAAATGAAACCCGTACATAATGTAAATCTAAATAAGTGGCTTACGGCCTACAAATGAAAGCTGCTTAACTAACGGATCGATAGATGATCAATGCCCACAATTACCATTTCTAACTCGACTTCACTTTCGTAAAACATATGGTTTTAAAATTAAAATTAATTTCAGCAAAACGTTAAGGAAAAAAACAATTCGCTAAGTAACGTTTTAATATAAATTTTTTATGGTTTTTTTAATTAAATATGTCTTGTTGCAAGCCAAACTGTACTCTATTTGATTCTAGTTTTCTTTTCATGCGTTTTGTTTACGCCTCCCAAAAATTTCATCTTCGTTTTTTTTTCTTTTTTTTTTAAATAAAACACAGTTTTTACTTACTTTGACACAAGTGCTTTTTTATCCACAAAGCAAAAACCTAGCATCATTTACCCATTTATACAATATTGACATAATTCTATATGCAACAGATATATATATATATAAATATATATATATATAGAATTGAATTTGTATTCCAAATTCTCTATAGAGTGCGAATTTGGAAAAAAAGTTTGAATTCTGACGGACTATTTGATGTTCGCCTTATGACGATTCTGCGACGACGATATTTGTTCAGCTGTTGTACTTGGTTATTTTATTGTGTACATTTCAAAAATTTTACCTGACTCAAGTCGCGTACGCTGGCGAGAAATTCATTCATATATAATTTACTACAAATATAAAATATTTTTTAATTACCACAATTTAAATGCAATGCAGAAGATCTTTAATTTTAATGCACATGTGTTCTGTTTACATTTTTTTTTTTTTAAATTTCTTAATTATAAAAAATATCGCGTGCTAATATGCGAATAAGTTTACGTAGGAAAAAAGAATGCGAAATTTATATTCTCTTTCCAATGATCGATCGAGTATTGGTTAACCGACCGAAACTATCTGTTTTGACGCTCACAAACAATATTCGGCCTTAGGAGACATTTTTTTTGAAACCTTACTTTATTTCATTATTGAAAAGATCATTTTGAAGAGCAAGTTTGCAGATTTTTTTTTCGTTTGTGTTTTTTTTTTTTTTGCATACCAAAGGATTAGTTTCCTGTTCTAGAAACAGTTATGTAAAAATTGTAACACTACAGATCCCGTAGTACCGCCCCTAGTACCGCTGTTGTTTTCCGTATGGTAACCACCTTTGAATCATTCGCGTTTTGCCTTACTTCACAGTTGTATATTACGTTTAGAACGGATGATGGCAAAGAAACGACAGTAAAAGATTACTTTGCGGCAAAGGGCTGCTTGCTGCAATATCCGTCATTGAATTGCATTACAACACGTACAAAAAAACGCGAAATATCGCTACCAATGGAGTTCTGCTCTGTAACCGAAAATCAAGTCCTAAACGTAAGTAACGGTTCCCGATTCCGTAAGACCTTTCGTGATTTTTTTTGTTATCAATACCTAATGAAAAAAGCGTAAGGATGGCAGTATACAAGTCACAAAAATGATCAAGTATGCTGCCACATCTACAGACGAGCGGAAAAATAAAATAATTAACTTATTGGCGCATTTTTGTCATAGCCAAAGTCCATTCGGGCTTTCGGCGTTCAGTTGGGTAGTAATTTTATAAAAAAACATTTCCGTCTTTTGTCACCGCCGGATTTAGAGTACTGCGGCGGCAAAATCGTGCGTCCATGTGAAGGCGCCTGGCAAGTGACAAATGCAAAGTTCTTAGAGACTGTCAACGCCCAACCAAGTCACAAGTGGGCAATAATTTACGAGACCAAAGGTAGAGCATCGATTAATGTGCACGTAGTAATGGAATTCAAAAAGACTGTAACTATGAATGAATTTTCTATCATCAATGTGAAGTAACGGATTTTCACTATATCGAGAGCACGTTAGAAGGTTTTGCAAGGAAGGGTTATGCCCTAGTAAGTGTCATTTGTGGATAGCTGTTTCAGTTCTCCTATTGTTTTCTTTTCGTTTTACTTTCATAATAGGTTGTCGTTGTAATAAGCTACGGTGCGTCCTATTCTATGATAAAACAAAAACAGAACTTAGAGTGGGTATTTTGACACAGTGCATTAAGGAAAAAACTGTATCCCGTGCTTGTACTGATATGTCAGTAATGAGAAATAGGAGGCTATTCACGCAAGTTACGGCGGAAATTGATAAATTGTTAACTAACCCCTGTTACGTTAACGAAAAAGGAAGGGGCCAACATAAAAGCGCCTCAAGATGTGCGATGACAATTTCTTGAAATTACGTGCTTATGTACATGAAAGCTTTGCCTGCTACATGATAGATAAGTGAGGCTCGCCTTTTGATGACTATCGTAAAACAACCACTATAAATTCACTTCCAATTAAATAAATTTTAAGTGAAACAAAACGGCTAATGGTTGAAATAAATTTTCTTTCAAAACGGAAAAAATCCAAAAAAAAAGTATTTTAGATTTGAACTTGTAAAATAAAGATTATAAAAAATTTAATTCTATGAAACACAAATAAAATGTTATTAAATAATCCAGGAAGCATTGCAGCAACGGTTTGTGTCTTTTTATGGAGTAGGAAAATGGTTGACGACACCGTATGATATCTCAGGGGATCCTCATCATCGTGAGATGAATAGATCGAAAGATGCGCTGATATATTCAAAGATTATTAAATTAACTTTTCAAAAATCTAAATAAAGTCCTTATTTATGCGCTTATTCGTTCTCAATCATTCAACAGGTCTTTGTAAAAAAGCAGCAAATTCAAACCATCTGAGAAAATAAAAATTCCATACAATAGAGAATGTTTGAATAAATTGCTTTACATGTATTGTGCCGTTTTTCAAGAATAAGCGTATACAATTATCAAGAATTTTGCATGTATTGTGCCGCTTTTGAGAATAAGCGCATATTCGTTCTCAATCGTTGAGAAATTCTGCGCAATGCCAAATACTTTAAGTAAGTTTTCATAAAAAAACATCAACATCATTATTATCTTCAGACGGCTATTTAAAAGTTGAGTTATAGAAAAATTTTTTTTCATAGCTGTGGTTTAAATTTCAATTTCCCGCTAGGAAAGATTTCCCTCGAAATTATGAAATAAAGTTGCTTTTGTTTAATCAACTAACGCTTTATCCATATGATATTCCTCTCAGCTTAAAATTTTATTTGCGACGCTGCCAGCTTTAATAGACTATTTTTCATCTACTCAAATTATCTAAAATAAATGTATAAATTTGGCAACTTCTTTTGCTAGGATAATAACATGTGGACTTATTTTGCTGGTTTTTTAACTCAATATGAAGATAACGCGGTATAAAAAATTGAATAAAACGTTAGCTTTTTTCAGCGCTCACTATAACTATCGGGAACCATACCAAGTTTTAGTAGATGCAACATTCTGTCAAGCCGCATTAAAGGTAAACCATAAAATTGTTCCGACAAAAGAAAAAAAAATTGTCTACTTCTTTTAGAATAAAGTAATAGTAGAGGAGCAAATACGAAAGTATTTTCAAGTGCAAGTAAAACTGTTGACTACACAATGCATAATTTTGGAAGCGGAATCTTTGGGCCCTCCTCTAGTTGGAGCTACGCAGATTGTCAAGAAATTCCTTGTGCACAAATGTGGTCATGAAGGAAATCCGATCGCTGCGTGCGAATGTATAAAACAAATGGTTGGCATTAAAATTGTGTTGAATTAGAAATTTGTTTAATTATATTTATATTTCAGACTAAAGACTCTCGCTATATTGTGGCTTCGCAAGATAAGGTATTACAATCCAGCTTACGTAAAGTACCTGGACGTTGTTTACTATATTTACACAAGGCAACACCAACACTAGAAACACCTTCGCAAGCCTCCAAAAAATGGGTTCAAAAAAAATCGAAAAATATGTTGAGTATTGATATCGAAAAAATTGAAAGTCTCAAATCCCAAAATGGAATAAGCTCAACAGAGGAGAAACCTAAATCGAAACGTAGGAGTCCCAAAAACCCCAATCCCCTGTCCTGCAGAAAAAGTAAAAAGCAATTAACTAATAATATACAAACGTTAGCAAATAGCAGCAAACCGCCGATGAAAGCTAGAAGAAAACGGATTAAATTACCTCGACATGTTAAAGAAATTATAAGAGATAGTTAACAGAGTATTTTAATAAAATTTATGAGAAAATGCACATATGGCTGCAGCGACTCGTATCACTCATTTTGCTTTTGCAAGGTGTTCCCTTCTCTGATTTTTTGTAAAGTCTTTTTAGTCAGTAAATATCTTACGGCATTCAATAATAGGCTGTGCCTAGATATGTAGACTAACATATTAACGGGGAAGCGACCACACCAGGAAAGCTCTATTTTGTTGGCTAAAGCAACTGCAAACAAAAAGCCGCACCTCTCCGCTGTTAAACGATGACGATTTTGTATTGATTTGCCCACTTTTTCATCAGGCTTGTTTGTAAAAGCTTCTAGTAGAAATTCCGTAGCTACCGGTCCAGGATTGAAAACTGTAACATTGATAGAAGGTTGTTCAACGACCAAACACCCGAAGTAAGCATTCACCGCATGTTTAGCGGCACAATAGGTGGCTGAGGATGGAACATAAGCCAAGCCGGCCACACTGGAGGTAATAGCAACGTGACCGTGACCACCATTTTGTTCCAAAAAATAGCGAACTACAACGCGGGACAAATGCAACACAGAAAATACATCCAATTCGAATAAATCGCGATCTACTTGCGTATGGATTTCTTCCCAATTTGCGCGTTGCGATCGACCCGCATTATTCACCAAAATATCCAATCGCCCGAAATGATCCAGAACCTTTTTAAAATGTTTCTCATGTTCTTCCAACTTTAGTATATCCATTGGCAATATCAACACATCTTTTGTGGACAACAGGCCACATGAATCGAACAGACAATCCTCCTTTACTTCTTCCAGCAAGTTTAAACGTCGTGCCGATAGCACCAGTTTCACTCCATGCTTAGCTAAATTCAACGCTAAAGCCCTGCCAATGCCACTGGAAGCTCCAGTTATCCATACCACCTGACCGCGCAATGTAGAAATGGAAACACCGAAACAACTCTTGAACCATAAGGCAAAATTGCAGTCTAAGAAAATCCAGAGAAGCACATAAAAGAAATAGTAGAGCAGGAAAGCACCACCGAAAATCTCCAAAAACCCCATAGCTGCAGTTCGAAATGGCACAATGACTAAACTAAAGGTAAACGAGCAAAGTACAGAAAAAAAATATTGACAGTTTAGCATGTACGGTACTGCCAAATTCAAAGTTCTATGCGTAAAAGAAAGTTTAAATCAAAATTTGCTTGTTCAGGTAAACAATATATTTCCGATATTTTCACATAATTTTGCTATCTGTTCTTTAGAAGCGAATTCAGCTGCCAATATAGCATTACCTACAGCTATTGTCTCTTTTACACTTTTCGCTTTAATCCATATGCGACCATTCATTCCGACAGCTACTTCAAAAGGCATTTCCTTCGTCAACGCGCTTAACAAAGGGCAATCTTCGCGCAATATAAGGCGAACCAAATTAAGGCTACAATTAAAAACGAATCCTTCGCTTAGAACACCCAGCTTCCCCTTTTTTCCCGACGAATTCACACACACCAATTCGGGTTCGAAATCTTTATTTGCGACCACTAGGCGTGCATAAAGTAAATCCCCTACATTGACATCGGGTCTGTTCTTCTTAGTAGCTTGCTCGAAAGCTAGGTAAGATAAAGAAGCTTGTTCCGGAGCGCCTATGTCGACTCTGAACAAATCACCCGCTTTGGCAGTGACAACACCAATAACCAGCTCACTACGCACAGGTACGTAACGTCTCTGATAGCTGTCGACCCAAAAAGTATTGGGTTCTTTGAAATGCAATTTACCGGCTTTACAAGCCGTCACTTGTTTATCATCAACTCGTCGAAGCCCGGGACCCAAAATGACTTTTTTCCCCGTAGCAGCCATCTCCTCCGCAGCTTGTATCCGGTCACCAGGCATCACTATCACTATATCAGTCATCACGTCTTCTCAGTTCTACTTGCTTAAATTTATACTTTTTTATTTGAAAACTATTCGTATATTGTTTATTTTTGTTTATAATTTCTCCTTATTTGATTAGAGTAGAAGCGATAAATTGCGAAAACGCACGTGAGAGACAACAAACAAAGAAAAATGCAGACTGCCAAGTTTCTAAACACAAAAATATAGTGTAAATGCTTAAAATTAAGGTCGAAAACACAATAAAACTTTGCATGCTTATCAGGATTTACAGATCGTAGAGCCTTAAACAGTCTTTGTCAAGACTACGAAGTCAGGTGATTTTTTATGTAAAAAAATAAATATACATATACCGTACGTTGAAATTTTGGAATAATAACTAAAAACAATTATTCTGCTGCAAAGACTAAAGAATAGCTGATAAAAATTTCCGTTGACACTTTTCATACGTCAGGATAATTAATATTGAAACGCATCGCTAGCTTAATTAAGTTAATTAACATCAACAACAACAGCGTTTATCGACTCCTGTCACATTGTAGATAATCTCGATTAGTTTGAAGTAATGATTTAAACATTAAATATTAATCTAAAAGAAATTTAAAAAGAAGAATATATGTAATGACAGGAATTATGTTCAGTCCTGAGCCGATAGCCTGTGTTGCTAGTGCTCAATGTCTCTTTTTTTAGTCTAAGAATTCAATTCATTAGTCTAAAATTAAAATAATAATAGTAATAATAATAATAATATGTTCAGTCCTTGACAACATATCCGCAAGGAGTAGAAATGAAACTTATGGTTACATATATGTACATGCAACCGCAATGTAGCCTAATACCTTTTTTTAATAATACGCAAGACAAAGAAATGATCGAAATTGAAAGCAAACCACGGTCTAGAGTTGTTTATCTAATAAGACGCGAAGTAAGCTTACGTAACAAAAAATAATATAAAAAAGAAAGAGCTTATGTAGAACCCATTCCTCATGGCGCTTTTGATAGTCTTTACTCTAACTACTAAAAGTAAAGAGTACTCTATAATTATTTATTCTCGCCGATATCTCATTATTGTTTTTATATGTGAGAATCCGCTTTACTTTTCGCCGAGAATCATTTATATTAATAAAAAAATTTTTACTAGGGTGAATCACATATAAAAAATTTAGCTTTCGTTTTTCAATAATACAAAGTTGAGTTTCAGGTGCGTGGTTACTAAAATATCTTTTATTAACAAAAATTTAGAATTCTTTTACGATTAACATTATAACATATGGTTGCTATAATTGTAATATTGTACGAATTAATATTTAAGGGATTCTGTAAAGATAGCGTTTACATCTAGTAATTGGTTCTCGTAATTTCCCAGAATTATCACGTCATGATTTTTAATTGTTTAAAATTGTTTGTAAGCACTGAGAGACATGTGTCCCTCTTAGTATATTATGATTACTTGTGATTTATTTTTCGTCCCCATTTAGTTCCGATATACAACTAGTTTAATCTTAGGTAAATTAAATGAAATAAAGAAAAAATAAAAATGTAGAATTAAATTTGTAAAGCAAAGCGGATTTTATATTAGCGTCCACATTTCCGTTTCATTTATACTCTTTATTTCCACAAATAAATAAAGCTCCTTAATTTATCAATTGCGGACTTAGATGTGACATTATTTGCCTTACTGACATGTTGATGTTTAATTACACGAGATGTAATGATCACTTATTCAAAATTAACACAGTGAAACGCCCTTTATATATCTGTGGGGTCTTGCAACACAGAGAGGGGGATGATGATGATGATAAGAAAGATGATGCTTCGAGTTAAATTAGAAAGACAGTAAATAAAATAATTTATTTTTCATAAATTTACTAAATAATTATAATTCTATTGCGCTACTGCATGATGATGAGCACGGCAAGTATGATTTGTTAATCTTCGGAAATGCCGTTTCCTTGCTTCCAATTTCATTGCATAGGAAAGGAAATGTTTGCTCGCGAAGAAGAAAACTCTGCATTGGCGGCACTAATCATACAGTGTTGAGTTTTAGCATGATTTGAAACAAGATCATAAGTTAAGAAATCAGCCGAAGATAATAATTAATGCGATGGTTATAAAATAAACATAAGAGACGTTGAGCTCGCAGCAATATCGACCTTATCGTCCTTGTATATTTGGTTTAAACATATATTCAATACACTTTCCATTGTGATTATCCTGATGCCTACACAACTTGAAATATAATTTCAACACTTGGATCCACAATTTCATTATTAGGGATTCTTTTTTTTTTTTATTATTAGGGTAAGCCAGGGCTTATTGGAGCGGTTTATATGTAATATGGCGCCAACAAGCAGATTACGATTGCGAACACCACGGGATATAATCCACATTATAAAACGCTTCTGATAGTAGTCTTATCCACGCCGGCGGAAAGTATATAGTTTCCCCTTTTGTTCCATTTGAGAGCAAAAATAGGCCGCTTATGTTGACCCAAAGTAGAAGCCAAATGTCCATCCGTTTTCCAAATCCGAGCAAAGCCGTCATAGCTGACGGTAGCCAATAGAGTACCATCGCACTTTAAAGAGAATATCATAAACTTTTATATTCCGTTACCTTGCTAGTTTACTTACATTCCAATCCAATGACCTGACATCCTTGTTGCTTGGCACCTCCGCACCACCTTTCTGTACACAATGCCTTAAAACTAACTGATTAGGCGAATTTCCGGTATCAGACATATCCCAAATGCGTGCTGTGCTATCGCCAGAACCGCGGTTGTTGGCGTAGAGCCTGTGGTTGCAGCAGCGGTAGTATTCGGTGCTGGGGCTATTGGTGTAACAATGCTTGAGGAATTAGGTGCACTAATAACCGCAACTCCAGATGTTGCCTCACTTGAAGATTCCCGTTGTTTGAAGAAGATGATGTTGCATCATCCACCGCCGTTGTCGGGCCGGCAGCAGTTGTCTGACAAGCTGCAGGTTTCTTGGTATCTTCTCCAGTTGTTGTGGCGGCAGTAGTTGCGGAAGTAGTGCTGGCAGCGGCACTGCTCGATGCATTTGCAGATCCTGCAGTCGCACTATTTGTACCACCATCAGTTTCCCTTGTCTCCGCACTTGTTGTAGCAGTACCACTTGCGGTAGCACCACTATTATTAATTACATGTTAGCATGTAAGGCTGTAGGCTTAACATTCATTGTAATAGTTGCAAATTTCCCTACAATGGGACTTCCATGAATTATCTGCTATTGTCTTACAGGTGTAGAGAGTGTGCAATCTAATGCGAGGAAAGACACACTTCGACAGTACAGTTTTACTTTATTTGTTTAAATAGCACAAAACAGATGTAGAAATAAATTAGAAAGGTTATAAATTTGTTTAAAAATGTAGATGTCACACAATGTGACTCCCTGATTCCTTTTGGCATAATCTGTTCGATACATTTATACTAAATAACCGTTTTGCAGTGACTTAAAGAAGTTTTTCCGCGAAGGACGCGTTGCTGTAAACGCTGATTAAATAAATGCCTTATAATTCGATTATTACGTCGATCTTTCTCTTCCCGTTCACGTCTGCGTTTTTCTACTACTTCAGGTAGTTTAGCGAAACGTTTGCTCGTCAAAGCTTTCATCTCCTTAGTATTTACGACGCGTAACTTTTCGATCGGTGCCGGCGGTAAACGCTTAATACGTTCTTCTAATGAGTGGAAGCTTGCGTTATCTATTATTTGTTTTAGTTGACGTTGGCGTTCCACACGCACTGTTTGCCTTGCTTTAAGTAGACCTTCGCGTTCTTTAGAACGCCGTAAGAAAGTGGGATGAGAATTTTCCAAATGTTCCTGCAGCGTTGTCTGATGTCCCAGTTTGTCCTTGCTAATTGATTTTATGTTGTTTGTTACGTAAGTGGTTGTCGATTGTGGCAGCCCTACACTTGTTTCTGAAGGGTTTTCCGACGGTCCTTGCTCTTTATCAGCATTGTCAGGTTTCTCGGTATCATCGAATTCGATTACGTAAGCAATGCCTTTGGGTTTTATCTGTGCACTAGTGATACTGGGACAAGTCTTAGTCCAGTGGGTGCAAGCGAGGCGTTTAGATTGTAAACAATCGCAACACTGTGGACCGTAAATAGGATATGAACGTAACATCGTGCCGGTGGTTTGTATTCTTGCACCGGTTATAGGTGTCGAAGAAGAATGTTCTGAGCTCATAGGCACAGACATATCAGAAGAGATGCAAAACAGGGACACTGACGAAGTAGTTGTTGTTGTAGTCGTGTCCTGGTGCTCAGTTTTTTTCAGTTGTTGGCTACTGGTATGAACAGCTGCTGAAGTGTAGATAACATGTGTCAGTTTGGAAGCAGTTGTTGATGGAACTTCTCTCAAATGTGAGGATTTTCGGCTATAGCTGCTAGGTAATGGAGAACCCGATGTGAGTTGTGGACGAGGGAGCTTATACACCTGCTTGTGTTCTCCTTCTTTTTGTTGCATTTTCAAAGTTTCATACGGGTGGTGGCGTTTATTTTTGTACAGCTCTATAAATTTTTGTTTACGTTGCAATATTAGATCACGCAAACTATTGTCAGCGGTAATCTTACGGGTTAGTGGAGGAGTCTCCATTTTTTTTCGATGCCTATTTTTATGGCCATTATTATCACTATCACCCAATAATTGCTCTTCGTTAATGGTTATAGTCTCATGTGTGCTGCGAAAACGTGGTTTAAACGAGAATCGTTGATTTGTAGTCATATCGTCTAAGCTTTTTTTATATATTAATTGAGTTTCCTTTCGCCTTTCTCTGGTCCTTTTTAGATTATCATTCAAATTGACTACGTCTTCATTCGATTCCTCGATTATAACTTCGATATCGTGAATTTTGTCTTTGTCTGCCCTTTCTGGTGATTTGTCCGAATTCGCATCACTTTTCGCATAAATTTCCGTATCAACAGTATCGTACACATTCTCCGATGAGTGTTGAACTTCTGCGGCTACTTTTCTTTTTAGGTGATTGCCTGTACTTTCTGATGTAGTACTACTTTCTATTGGGGAACTATTCTGGTGTAGCAGCAATTGTTTTAAACACTCTAACCGTTGTATTTCCTTTTCAATCCAGTTTAGCTGTTCACTTCGCTGCTTCCTTTCATATTCCACCTCAGCTTGTGTCATTGGATCTAGCCATTCGCGCATATTTGGGTACGCAAGATCTGGCTGCGAATTACGATGCATATTTACAGTGTTTAATTGCTCCGATGAACGTCTTACTTTGTGTTCACTAAGGTTTTTTGATGAATCGCTGTCGGAACCACCTTTTTCTCTTTTAGTATTTTTTCCATTGTAGTTGTACGTATTCAAAGCCAATTCACTTGAGGTCCCAGTACTAGACTCTGTTATTCTTGTTGATGCGGATTTCAACGTGGACGCTCTTTCTTTTGTGGACGGCGTCGCTTTTAACACTTCGGCTTTTTTATCTGAATTAGTAGACACCTGCTTTTTTGGTTTCGAAACTCTTGGCAGTGATTCGTAGCCGTGTACTGAAATTGATTTCCCGGTCTCCGATGTATAAGTCGAACTTTGTGATCTTTGCCCATATAATATATTTGTAGCTTTTGCTCGTTGCAATTGTTCTCTGGACGAATCAGCACTAACACTGCTGCGTGATCCAAAAAAAGTATTATTTCCCGAGCTCGGCAGTGCACCAACGCCGCTTAAATACATAATACGTTTAATAATCTCACGTAGCAGTTCATTTCTCTCGATTTGTGTGACTCTTTTCGCATTGATCAATGAACATATTAATTGTACACCCAAATCTAATTCAGGTGCATTTTGCGAATCGGGCAAAGAATTACTCGAGCTTTTTGTAGAGGATTGGGAGATATTTTCTTTGCTTCCTTCAAGAGTGTCTAGAAGCGTAGTTCGCAATTTTTGTATTTTTGGAAGGTTATTAGAATGCTGGCCGTTCTTCTCCGTAAGTATTTTGCGCTGTACTAGATCAGTTAAGCTCACTACAAAATCATGCTGTGGTTGCATTTTTATTTGCCCATTCGATGTTTGTAAATTAGATTTAGCTTGTGAAGTTGCTAACGGCTTGATTGGTCTAGACTTGCTGTATTCGAAACTAGACTGGGTTTCAATTTCACCTTGTGTGGAACTCGAGGATGATAAGTTAACTTGTATTTCTCTATCAATGATTTGCGGTGCTCGTGTTAAGGTTGTTTGGCTATAGTTGTCAATTTTTTGTTTGCTAGTAGTGCACGTACCCTGGGAAACCATTTTTGGCACATTGGGATCCATTTGGAAGCTAGCAGCATCAAGTCGAAGAAAAATAAGATATTAGTTATGAAAAACTTAAGTTTCGCTTTCGTTTTCAGCGGTTTGGCACGCACAGTAGAAAACGAAAACTTTTTTTCGAAATATTTGGGACATCATCTGTGTGTGAATTACAATGTGCATGCAAATAAACGCGAAGAAAGAGAATCAAACTAAGCAATCAAGAGAGCAAACAATTCAAACAAACAATTATTAGTTCACTAAAATACACAATTAAAATGATACAATTTAAATATCAACTTGTGTAGGTCGTACGTAATATAATTTCTAAACTTTTATATTGCTTTACCTAACATTTGTGTGAAACATGAACTTCTTACCAATTCTTCTGATAGGAAATATTTCCTTTTGTTTCGATCTGCTTCGCGCCCTGCTCTATAGACTAATCACCTCTCAACTAATGGTATATGACAACTGTAATAAAAACGAAAAATTAAAAAAAACACTTAATTCGAATTTTCCTTTCACGGCTTGCAGGTCACCGACGAGAATACATAGTTGCAATTTTCATAGGATTGCCGTTTATAAAATGAAATTTTTAAAGATATTAAAAACAAAACAATGATATCTCTAAAATATTTTAAATAGCAGGGAATTTTCAATTACTTACAATGAGAATAACACATTTAATGAATTTCGTGGTAACTAAAGGTTATCATGTTATTATGTACGCAATTTATGTTTTTAAATCAAATAGTAGCACTAAATATAAAAAAAAAACATATTCCGTAATGGCGTTTGTTTGCAACATATCATAGATTTTTTCCTATTTATATGTAGCATGTCATCCTTGTTATTTCCACACAAACACTCCAGCCACTTCAATGAAGCAGCTTGTAAATCATTGAGCAGAGTACCTTTTATCAGACGGATTTAAAGCAAAATTAATAAGCAAAAAACGTGATACTGCCAGATCTATATAAAATAAAAATTAGTGCAACAATTTGAACTAAGTTTGTAATGAGGAAACTATAAACCAAAAGAATAGCTCCATGTAAAAGAATTTTGATAGATGCTTGAATCTTTTCTAATATTATTACTATGAAATAAATTCATCGAATTTATATGCAAAGCTTTGACTCGAGTTTTTCTTTGAGCCCTATAATCATGAATATCCATTTTATGAATGATAAAGAACAATTTCATTTAGTTCCTCTTCGTCACCTTGTCACAAGGTCGTTTACCACTGTATAAAAAAATCGGCATTAAAGTTTTCAAACCAAGAAAAAACATTTGAACTAAGTAAACAAGTTTTTTCTCAGAATGTATATCGGCAATTTACCTCTGCTAAACCGCTATTTTTCCAAATTATTAAAAATCAGGAAAAATAATAAAGATATACGCACTAGTTAAGTTTTCAATCTCTAACAAAATTGCAAACTGTTGTCGCTAAGAGCTGGCAGAAGCACTCATACTTTAACATAAAATCGACAAAGTGAAAACGCAACAACAACAACGCAGTACATATGTTAAGAAATATTCCTAAAATGCGCTATCTCCCATTATCAATCGCTAAAGAGTCGTTGTTGAGTACGCATCTAACCGGATTATATCAATCTTTTCAGTTTATTAGAAGCAAGTAAGTGAAACGCTTAAAACTCTCGTGGTTTAAAAAGAAAAAGGCGTATGATTATTAAAATTTGGCGTGCAAGCACGGGAAATTAGTCTAACTGAATAACAAAATAATCTTATTAACTTACGTAGTTATGTCTAGAAAATTGTTCGACCTTTATTAACTAGAGGTCATCTTCGTCAACGCGGCTATGTACACAATACAAAAGTATTAGTGATAGTGACAGTTAATAAAGCATGAATCAAAATGGAAACGATTTAAAATTTAATAATTTTATAATATTTATGAAAGCAATTAATTTTACTTATATTTTCTTCTACAATCACTTGTGTCGGCGAACACGGAACATCAAACTATTTTTAAGCAAGAAGAAGCACTTGCATATGATTTGTAAAGCATTGCCATAGTAAGAAAATGTTAATATGTCGAGAGTGGAACGTAAGCGAAGATAGTGATAGAACATTTCAAGTTGCCCTTGAATTATCCTTTGTTATTTTTTACTTGACCTTAAAAGGCCGCTAAGGACACTACACTGAAAACAGTGTGAATGTATGTGGGGCTTCACATAGTTGAATGTTTTTCTTTGGTTATTTCTTGGTTATTTCTAAATACACTCAGAAAATATAAAAAAGGCGATGGGACTATGTTGTTCATTTTTTTTTTTGTGACTAAGTTGGGCACTCTGCCATGCTTTGCTAGACCTGGTGCATATATTCTATTCTTTTAGAGGCCCACATACTTGTATGTCGCAGAATAAGCAGGCTGACTTTAAGAATCTATCATTAGTTTGGTAGTCAACTAATGCTTGTAACACTGTTCTTTTCCTTTCAGAAGTAACATGCCTATTAAGTCAATCCACGCTCGTCAAATATTCGATTCTCGTGGTAACCCGACTGTAGAAGTAGATCTTTCTACTGAATTGGGTCTATTTCGGGCAGCTGTACCTTCAGGCGCTTCGACTGGTGTTCATGAGGCATTGGAATTGCGCGACAAGGAAAAAAATAATTATCATGGCAAGAGTGTACTGAAAGCAGTTTGTCATGTAAATGAAATTATAGGTCCCGAGTTGATCAAAGCCAATTTAGATGTTACTGAACAAGAGAAGATTGACGAATTCATGATTAAATTGGACGGGACGGAAAACAAGTCAAAATATGGTGCAAACGCCATTTTAGGCATATCCTTGGCTGTCTGTAAAGCTGGCGCTGCAAAGAAGTGTTTGCCTTTGTATAAGCATATTGCCAATTTGGCCTCCATTAAAGATATTGTATTGCCTGTTCCTGCCTTTAATGTAATTAACGGAGGTAGTCATGCTGGCAATAAGCTGGCTATGCAGGAATTCATGATTTTGCCGACTGGCGCATCCAGCTTTACAGAAGCAATGAAAATGGGTTCTGAAGTTTACCATCACTTAAAAAAGGTTATTAACGACAAGTTTGGCTTGGATGCTACAGCAGTTGGCGATGAGGGTGGCTTCGCTCCTAACATACAATCTAATAAGGAAGCTTTGTGTTTGATTAAAGATGCTATAGAACTGGCTGGCTATACGGGTAAGATTGAAATAGGCATGGATGTGGCTGCCTCCGAATTTTTCAAAGACGGTCAATACGATTTGGATTTCAAAAACCCGAACAGCGATAAATCTAAATGGCTTTCCCCTGAAAAGTTGTTAGCTTTATATCAGGAGTTCATTAATGAGTTCCCCATTGTTTCGATTGAGGATGCTTTCGATCAAGATCACTGGGACGCGTGGAGTACGATTACTGCAAACACTAAAATACAAATTGTTGGCGATGATCTTACGGTTACGAATCCGAAACGTATAAAAACTGCCGTGGAAAAGAAAGCATGTAATTGTCTATTGCTGAAGGTAAATCAAATCGGT